CCGGAGGATTTTGCAGGATTGAGACAGTGGTCACCCCTCCAAGGACCACATTTAAGAAATAACGGATGAGTTTTGGAGGATTGAGGCTGTATGCATGTATGCCAGAGGAAGTTAGGGTTCAAGATGTTCTGTCATTGTTCTTCAACACATTCAACATTTTTTGTTTCTGCCAACCAATTTTGGCCTTTTATTTTGGGTTACTTTTGTGCACAGACAGATCCACCCTGCCAGAACTCTGGTCCCCCTGTCCCCACTCCCCATATTATCAATCCTACAGGGGGTGGGCAGGGTTCGACCTTAACTTTTTTGTTCACTAGCCAGTTGGGCTACTGAAACAGACTCTTAACGAGCCCGCAGGCATTTTCACAAGCCCGCTTTTTTTTTAGCTCTAATACAAAATGGCTAATTTTTGGGCTCAATTCCGAGGCAATTTTGTCAGTATTTTTAATAAACAGATAGTAATTCAACCTTTTAAAACAGTTGATAAAACTAGGCACAAATTGATGAGGGTTTGTTTCTGAATTTAATGATTTATTTCTTCCTGTCCGTTCGTCTTTGCCGTATCCCAATAATTGTTTGACTCGCCTGCCGGGCTACTTGAGGAATAGTTTGAATAGCTCGCTGCTGTTTTGACTAGCATTTGGCTAGCGGGCTTTCGCTAGTTTCGAACCCTGGTGGGCATCAGTCTACCCTGCGAAGACTAAATTACCGGTATTGTCAGGCTGCAACTAATGCAGAATTTGAATTTAAGTAATTATTCCGTAACTAAAAGCGGGCCAATTTTCTTTTTTCTTGTTTGCATTCAATGCCTGATTAAACAGTGAATGAACTTTTGTACTGCTAGAAAATTGCAATCCAAAATAGCATGGAGAGATTTTGGTGGATTTTGAACACAGTGAAGGGTCTGAGTTAAGGGTTCAATATATTATAACTTAAGCCCACTGACTCATAATTTATGACTGCAATGAAATGCCAAACTTTCAACCGAGTCTGGCACTTGAATCCACAGCAGACAAAGCCTAGCTAGAAACTGCCATATTTAGCCATAAATCAAACTTCATGTTGCGAAGCCGACACAAACAACACACTGTGAGCATTTCCTGCACACCTGTCCGACCTCGCGACCTTAGTAATTGTTCAAGCAACATGAAGTTGCTGGCCAAAAGGTGTTCTACAACGTTTTTGTGTGTGTGTTGATTCAATGTGGCATAAACAAAGTTTTAGGGCCTACTTAGCCAAATATGCAGGCATTCAATTAATATTGTTCCTGATCTTACTGTTTCAAAAGGTTGTGCGCCTCAAATGTGAGGCATTCTTGCAACATGAGATGGGACTGGGCAAAGTCCAAAGTGGAGAAAAATGCAAAAACCGAATTGGTGTGATTTTTCATATTTCCAGATTTATTGATATTGGTAGTCTTTGAATATGCCTACCACAAATGTTTTAAAAGAAATAATATAAAAATTGTGAAATGAAAATATTTTAAAGAAAACCAACTGGCATAACTTTAATTTTCACGACTACAAAACTCGAAACTTAAGGCCTTTTTCTCAGTATTTTACTTTTTGACATGGCAATAAATGCAAAATTTAAAACAAAAACATAAGTTGTCAATGGAATACATCCGATTTGAAGTGCAAAAAATAGTTTTGAGAGGGGAATTTTTATTCTCTTTCCTACATGTAATACCTGCAAACCTTCATTTCGACCTCTGCCCAGTTCTGTCTCATTTTGCCAGAATGCCACACAAATTGGTTTTCTTTTCAACCTTTTTTGAACACACCTTACTGATGGGTTTTGTAGTAAACCAGTAGAGCTTAGTTAGAGACTTCCAGTTTTGGTATTCTTGGATTTTATAGGATTAACCCAAATCCCCAACCACCGAAGGCAATTTTTGCTAAAAACTTCCCAGATTTTCCAAAATCGACCAGGGAGTGTCACGCTCCATCGAAAAACTAAGTGGCTGGGTTCAACATGTACCGGTACATGTGGATATCTACAAAAATTAGAGTATTCTATAGTACTTTATATTTTTCCCAACAATATCCAAAATACTATGCACAACTCTTCTTATCACTTTACAAAGGGTTTTTTTTCCTCATGGCATACGCCAAAATATTCCAACAGTGCTTTCAACTCTGGCTTTATTGTCCAAATGACCAAAGGATAATCCAGCTTTACCGTACCAGCTTTATCGAATTATTCCAAGCAAAAGTCTGAAGCATCTTTACGTTATGCCTGTCATTTGTCAATAAACATTCTAAATTTCTAATCCAAGCTGAAGACAATGACAGTGGATTCATCTTCACGGGAAATGGGATTATCACTGGGGTATTTTTTTCTGAAAGCAAAGGATTTGAGAGGCTTTAGCTGAAGAGGAACTACGTGGCGATTTCTGAAGAGCTACAGCGCTTAAAGACATCGTCTTAGTTTGAAAGGGAAAGTCATCACAAACAATTCTTCAACTTTAAAAGCTCCTTTTTTTTTTAAATTTCTGATACATGTATACTGATAGAAAACTATGTACTCTCATATTATTACAGTCAAAAGTACCTTATTCTACCAATGAAATTTATTTTCGGGTCAAGTATAACATTAATATTGCAAGCATTACAATTGATGTCAACTAAGAAATTTGTGACTGCAGTACATGTACATGTGTACCGGTACGTGTGATAATGAAGGTGAACGTTCCTTTAATTTGCTCCAGGCTCTTACATGACTGGCAAGCATTAAAATACACCTGCACTGGTTACATCAGAAGATCCTTTCTTGTGACACTTGTGAGGACTACCTGCTTGATGCCTTGAGGAGTACAAGGACGTGCACTATGTGTGAATGGGTGCTGAATAGACATTGGTGTTCAAATCTCTCACATTGCAGGCTGTAGATTCTGAGCCATGTTTATTGCTTCATTTATTGCTCATGAATCTGTTTTCATTCCTCCATGATCTACTACAAATCATTGCCACAATGACTGTGCTGTGTTGTCACTGTTTCTTAATTACCACCGGTTTTCGGTTTCAGGAGATCAAACATGTCAAACTACTAGCCAAAATAAACATCTGCAAGAAAGTATTGCAACCGAATAAGTTGCATGTTAAAAATGAAAGGCAGTGCCTTACACACGATGTACGCGCACATGTGTACTTCACAATTATGCAGTTAGAGTTTTGGTTGTTTTGTTTGCTTGGGGGATTTTTTTCTTCAGAAGGAAAAAAGTCAATAATTTGATGAAGTATTTTTGTAACAGGGCATTTATATAGTTTTAAGTTTTTATTTGTTAGAGCACTAATCAAGCATTCAGATTTTTTTAATTAAAAAAACGAGAGAGAAGGTAAATTCATACAAATTGAGAAAATGTGTATTTGGTCATCAGTTTGACACAAATAACAAGTGCTATGCTTTTTTTAGGTCATAAAACCATTTAGTCAATCTGATCAGAAACAATGATATTATTATTATAATGCCACTGTGTTTACAATGTATGTGTTTTGTAACTTTTGTACATGTTTTATTCTTCCAGCAGCACTGAATTTAAAAGATTGCCAAATGTACACTAAAACCAAGTGATGCAATACTGCCTACGAACATCCATTAGCTTACTAAAGCAAACAATGGTTAATCATTCATCATGTTCATCATACCAAAGACATGAAGAACCACGATAGACAAACATACCGAAGCATCCGTGTTGTGTCAACAGTGGTCAACAATAAAATCAAGGTGACTCATCCAAAACTGTTCTAGGCCCTACCCACAATTAGTTTAAACAAAATGAGTAGACTTTTATTCTTCTGGACTTTCCCAGACAATACCACAAAAACCACAAGGTCGTTAAAATCTTCCCCGAAAAGCAGACAATTTAACAACCTGCTGAGTGAAGATTTGCGCTGAACAAAAACTTGCCGTCCACAATCAAGCTTTTGTGTAGGCTTACACCACTCCCCCATCACACATGAATGCTTCACATGAATGTCGGACACTTCGCCCCATTTCCACGTCGCCCCATGTCACTTCGCCCCTAACCACTTCGCCCCATCCCCACTTCGCCCCATTCCCACTTCGCCCCATTCCCACTTCGCCCCATCCCCACTTCGCCCCATCCCCACTTCGCCCCAGCCGTTTATACATGTAAAAAAAAAAAATCTCATCTATTTTATTGGCTTAAAAAAACAATTTCAACAGATTCACTAATTGCTTACCAACGGAAAGAATTAGCCCATCACTAAAATGAACAATTCATAACCAACCTCTCAAGCTAGGCTCTCCCCTATACCGAGAAAAAAGCTTGAAGTAAAAGATCCAACTTTGTTCCCAACCCGGCTATACCAACCTGTCACCCACTTATCTGAGAATGACAATACCTTTGACATCCCAATTTCACTCTTGGAGGAACCAATCTCATCTAAATGAAGTTGTAAGTCACGTCACATATCAGACAAATTTTGACGGAACATTTTCCTCAAGGCAGTGAGTTCCTTTTAACTCACTGACCCATCTACGGATTCTTTTGAATCCAGCGGCTGATGATTTTATTCACAAGCCAATAGGAGAGGCGTCTCTGAATGGGATAGAGCCATCATTTCTCTCATCTGTGTCTCGAGCACCTCATCAGAGAGTTTGTATTTTTCCTAAGTTTCTAGAATTGGGAGCATTTATTATTTGGGGTCTTTGGCAGTTTATTTGGTCTGCACCCCCAGCCTTCACCTTTTTCATACTACATGGGGCGAAGTGGGGATGGGGCGGATTTTCCATGGGCGAAGTGGGGATGGGGCGAAGCGGGGATGGGGCGAAGTGGGGATGGGGCGAAGCGGAGATGGGGCGATGTGGGGATGGGGCGAAGTGGAGATGGGGCGAAGTGGTTAGGGGCGAAGTGACATGGGGCGACGTGGAAATGGGGCGAAGCGTCCGACACCCCTTCACATCTGGCCAAGCTTAGGCTACCCGGTTTTTGTTAATAAATAAAAATTGATTTATCAAATAAATTGAATACTTACGAACTTCCACAGATCTAGCATCCAAACTGTTCATATATTCCACCAGGGTTTCGGCACGGTTTCTCAGCCGACACGAGCGGTCGTAAATGTCCCTGGCCTCGGAGCAAATCCCGTCGAAAATACCGGTGGCATGGTCGGCGATGTTGGCCAGTTGCCGTACCAAGTTGGCCAGCGTGTTGTTGGCGACATTTTCCAGTTCCGTACTACATCCGTTCGGCAGGGTTCTGTTGCTCAGGTACAGAGGCTCCACTCGCCGGCTGACGAAAGGCATCTTTTCTTGGAGGATGCAGCTATCCTTCGGGATAATAATCCGAGTCAAAAATCAGGGTTTAAATGGCCAATTTCGGTTTCATTTTGTGTCATTCTCGTACCCCATGCCTTTCTTACCACGACTCTTGCCCACCTGGCCAGCCTAGGCGATATACGCATGTACATGTGTGTACGGACACAACACCACATCATACACTTGAATCTAGCGTATTCAAAGGTAAAGCACGCAGGTGTCAATTGACATCAACTACACTACACAAAATAACAGTGTGGACCGTTGAGTTTGCTGATTGGGGGCGCGTGGCGTTACCACAATGTGATAAAGGACAACAAAGCTCAAAGTACAATGTAAATAGTTCACAAGGCCACGATTCACAATTCAAAATTATTACTACAGCCATAAAATTCGTTAAAAATATATTATAAATGTTACATGTTACAATTATGGTGATATAGGTATCTCTGATGAGTCATTCATTTTTTAAGGGATTTTTCCGAGTAACAAAGGGATCTCTTTCGACCGTGTTTTAATAGGATTAGCCCTACGCCAAATTGGCAGTTGGCTCGATATTGATTAAGAGGGGGCAGTTATGTGCGCTCATTTATAACAAAGAGAATGTATTACGTGGACGGTGGTGGATGCAATAACTTCATAGAAACTGGTGGGGAAAAATCCCCCCCCCCCCCGAACTATCATGACGACTCATTTTATTTTTCGTCTTTAATGGGGTTGTGGGCCGAACTTTCCCTCAAAAAACACTTGTCTTTAAAAATAGATGTTGTAATTACTAATATTGCAGATAACGTCATACGAGGAAGAACATGACTAGAATTATTGTAATTTTACCGGCTTAGAAAATATTGTTAGGGTAAGCACCTTGCGTGCGTTTAGTTCATCCCATATATAGGCCTTATGCTGTAATCACTTTCGATTATTGGCAACACATCCGAGTCAGATCAAAGAGGAAGGAAAATGGTTAGATTTACACTCAATATGTAACGAATGAATTCGTGCCGATGATTATACTCTCAAAGGAGATAGGTAGCATCCCACTCTTTATTTAATGACATGAACTTTACACGAGACATGTTGTCGAGCATTGACCTCAAGATGTACACGAGCGGCCAGAAAGAAGTGGGGAAAATGAAGGGGGCCTACAGGCAGAGTTCTCGGTTGTCTACGGGGGAAAAACAGACGGGCCTCACACTTGACTATATATATATCGGATCAAATATCATTTCTCCGTGACAAGAGAGTGAATTTGTAGATTTATTAAGCTTCTGGTGACAATTTTTAGTAGTAGTAGTAATCATTAAATTCCCTGAGGACATTGTTCCCAGACTTTTATAATTATTTAAGACAATATTTTCTGTTCATCCTGCGTGTTTTGTAATGTGGGCCTATTCTGCCATATTAAGGCAAATCAAGTCTATTATAATTGTTCAATTTTAGCCCGATGCCAAAATATATTTATACCAACATTTAGCGTTTTCTTCGTTTGAATGAAACCTCAATAAGCCAACTGAATTTATACTGACCGTCTTTTCAAACATTTCTAACTGTAAAGATAGGCCCTAGATGTTTAAATATCGAAATGAATTTTTTTCCCATTATTACTCTTCTGTAACTATATAACCGACGAACTTTTGTAAAGTGAGTGAAGAAACCAAACCAAAATAAGTAAAATAGCTACGTAAAGCTAGCTGAATAATATTCTAACAAGAGTCGCAAAACACTTACCCGATATTTCAAACTCCGCAGTGTAGGCCTATATGTAGGTTAAGGAGAATAATAATATTCCTCTAGGCCCTATGTTGTACCACTTTTTACAGCTCCGTGGTTGTACAAAATCACGCAGTAAAATGACATTTGACTAAGTTTGTCAAACGATTTCACACCATACCGCCTAGGGCTCGTGATTATGTCACATTTTTATTTTTGTAGCGGGGGATTTTCTGTTTACTTTCACAGATGTTATTCCGGTAGTTTCAACAACATGCATCGAAACATCCACCCACGTGAAGTATCTTTTCCTGTCAGACACAGATCATTTGATCTCACGAAAAGGAAAACAATAAAACATATACACATGTACATGCAGTAAGTGTTGTTGCAATGATGGGAATGACGCAACAAAAGTGAAAGTTCCATTATTTAGTTGGATGATGACGCGAAGGTTTGCTTGCAGCTGTATCCTACCGGCTTCACAGAATGGCTATTATAAATTCTCATTGGAAATTGCAGTGGGAGCCAACTTTGCAGTCTGAAATGTGTAAACAATTTACATTCTTTTGATATAGTTAAGTCTTTAAAAATAGTAAAGGAAGTAATGATCATCGGGAAATCTAGAATACCGTCCTCGCAAGTCGAAACTGAACAAGTACGATTGGATGAGATCGGGACTAGCCCCTCAAATTTCTTGATGTTTTTTTTATCATCAGATAAAAAAAGAAATAAAATCCAAATTTATTGCTCCATAATTTATTTCCCAATAGGAAATTAAATCTCACATTTGCAATCTTATACTTTCTATATGCCCCTACAGTCGGAAATAATCAGGTAATACAAGTATTACACGTATTAACTTAGCGGGTAATTAAGTGGAGTGCAGGGGCGGATGCCGATTTTGAATGAGGGGGTTTTGCTGTTTTAGCGGGCATTTGTTGTGCTTTTTCTTCATGAAGTCCCCTTTTTTTGGCGGCCTATTCCCCCCCCCCCCCCGTAGATGCGCCACTGAAGTGGAAACTGCAATATTTCGGGAAATGGAAACAAAAAGTCGACTAAAAGAGACAAAACGTGCTTTCCACAAGATATCGTCACACAGAGGGCGCCCTGTTACTTTTTTCTGTTTGCGATATGCATAGTTGTAGTACTTTCAGTAGAGATGAGTAGCACCAGCGCCATGTGTGTATGTGGTGAACCAATGTTGAAATAGAACTTTAAAGTCCGACTACACAACTTGGAGAACTCAAATCAGTTCATTATAAAAACAACGTAGACAATCATTTATTCTCACATAAAAACACAAATGTGTACAATAATGGTTTTTGTTTGAGATCTGCCTCCATGATTTAATCTTCCTCGAAAACAATAGAGCTATTGTAAGCCTTTGCATACATAATCATTAGCAAAACCAAAAAATGGTCAGGATTTAACAAAAACAAATTTTCTTCCCACCATTCAGGAAAACAACCATGATTCTTTCCTCTGCTGATTCTCCCTCAATTTTTTTGCCAATTATTAGTAAAAATATCTATATCCCCTTTCCGTAAAAGCATTTTTCAGGTAAAAAATGTTTTAAAATCAAAATCAGTAAACCTACTAACTCCCAATACACTATAACAATAAAACAGATCAAAAGAAATCTGACACACACAAATGAAAAAAAAAGCAAAGACGTTTGCTTGCATTTACAAGTTATTAATTTCAAACAGAAATAAATCAATTTCATGGGAAAAGAATACTTGGGCTCAGTATAAAGGGTGGACATACCTGTCCCTTTTCCCTGCCCTTCGAACTAAATCAACTGACCATCTCAAAATTTAAACAATCATGATTCCAGATATAATAACTTAAGTAGCCTTTCAAATATTCCAAACTATTCTCCCAACACTACCGGTACTTTATATGCAATTTTCTGTCGAGTCTCTGTCCACTTCACACATACACAACGGGGCAATATTGGCTTGGAGTGCCATGGCCTAGTGGTCTGGGGCATTGAATTCGTGGTCTGCAGGTAATTCTGCAGGTTGTGGGTTCGAGTCCAGCCTGGGCTATGACACTTCTACGCCTAATATGGGTAGAGGCATTATTAATGCCTTGCAGTGGACTACTTACCCATCCCAACCCTATTCATACTGTGAAGTGATAAGATTATCATGGGCATCCTCAGGATTTTTTCTAAAGGGGGGGGGGGAGGGGGGGGGGGGGGGGCGGGGGAGGGGGGGGGGGGGGCGGGGCGGGGGGGGGGGGGCGGGCGGGGGGGGGGGGGGGGCGGGCGGGGGGGGGGGGGGGGCGGGGGGGGGAGGGGCGGGGGGGGGGGGCAGGGGGGGGGGGCAAAGCAAATTTTTCTTCCCAAAATCCCTATACTTTTCCAGCATATTCTCGATTTATCATTTTTTTCGGGGGTGGGCAGGGACATTTGCCCCCCCCCCCCACCCATTAAATTAACAGCAACATGAATTCGTGCCTCTTTTTCTTCCATTTACCTCTTTTTTTGGGGCTTGTCCAGGGGGGGGGGGGGGGGGGGGGAGGGACCCTCGCGACGCTCATGAAGATTATCTTGTCTTGTTTCAGTGTGAGGGGCTGCTTCTTCCATGCTTTCCTCAGTAGCCCACACCTCAAGTGGCCTTTGGCCTTGTGATGGGCAATTTGCATTTAAGAGAAAATTGCTTAAAATCGCTGTGCAGTGATAGAAATTGCCATGCACCAGCCGACAGAAGTATATCTTTGGTGAAGGTGAACACAAAAGCTGTAACAAAATGGATGATGATAGACACTACCCAAGCCCTACCCCTCCACTTTAACTCTTTCACGCCAGTCTCATATTAAATATAGTAAGTACATGCAGAAGATAAACATGGATGTCAAATCCCTGTCTATGCCTGATTCCTCAGTTTACAGTGCAATGGCAGTTTTTCCTTTGTACTAATTACTGTCACTTGTTTTCGTCATGGCCATGCGATCCTTTTGATCTTCTTCTTGGGCGACTGATCTTCTTCTGGTGTGGAGACTTTCGTCTTGGTGTCTGATGGTCCTGCAGCAGTCTGCAAGGAGAAGACATTCAGTAAGTTATTAGTTGGCATAAAACTGATGTTTGAATGTAAAATCTTGTCTGTCTTGCATGAGTTGAGCAAATGCAAGCAGTTACGACTGCACAGCAGAGTCAGAAACACAGCAAGAATTCTGAAAAAAAACCTGTTCCTTTTCTTGTGATCTGCTTAACCAGTTTGCGCTGGGATTATTTTGACATGGACCGGACCCAGGCTGGGGATTGTTTTTCATGAACCTCGATGCTAGATCAGTTCAGGCCGTCATCTGCGGGTAGCACACCCTGATATTTCCGGCCTCGCTCGCTGCGAGCGGGTCGCAGACAGATATGTCCAGCCTGACTTGTTGCGTGATTACCCGTCATCTGTTCCGAATACTACAACATATTTGCGTGAACAAATGTAAACACATCATCCGACATGAACTGGATAATGAATACAAGTCAGTTGTCACAAAATTTACAAAAGTGGTGTTTTACTTAAGGAATAAATATGTCCTTGGCCAGTTTTTAAACAAGTATCGGTACATTTAAAACTGGCACGGGGTCTGGACGCTGATAATGGCCCAAGCCAAATGCGAGGGCCAGTATCGGGGACCAGGCCTCGAGCTGGTTTTAAACGTACTTGTTTATTACCAGTCAAGCACACATTTATTCCCATTCTGAAATACTTTCAGTCAAAAAGTCAAAACAACTAAAAAATAAATAATTTCCAACGATTTTGTTCAACAAGTTTACTTCATGTTTTGTGAAACACCCCTCTATGTTTATGCTTTTGTGCCTCGCGCGAGTAGTACTAAAAGTCTCCTCATATGGAAATTGGCCTTCGCATGTCGCATATTGCATGATGTGGCGCAGAACGCAGCGGTGCCAGAAATATCGTTCTAACCAGTTGGTGTTTTATCAACAGTTTCAAACCACCCACGTGATTTGAAGAATCTCAACCAATAGGAATAGGTCAACTGTCTTTATTAAACATCGCAGAAGTTCTTAATTGGTATCTCAGTCCTTCTAATTTGAGGCATGCGATCACACCCCCACACCATCGCACACCTAAAAGCTTCCCGAGAAGTGTGAATAATTGCATGTCTGAATTTCCCTGGACCACAGATAACACACGTCTGAATATCCCTGGACCACAGATCACACACCTAGAAAACCACACACCTAGAAAAAAACACACCTAGAAAAATCCAGGTGTGCCTTTTTCCACACGCCTGTGATTTTCAAATCAGGACTTGTATCTTGGAACACCTCTCGGCGTTTAATTCACCGTATACATGATAGCACTTGTAGTGTTTTTTTCTCGGAAACCAAAATACCTCTTTTGAAAAAAAATTGCTATGAGAAAGAGAATCCTCCTTGAAATTTACAAATAATGTCAAATTTGACAAGAGTGGCTACAAAAAATACACACCATTCTAAAAAGTATATAATACAAAATCATTGGAATCAATAAAAGCAAAAATGATGGTTATAGCTACCTTTCCATTTATATCCATTGGTGCTGTCCTCTTCAGTGATATCCTTGGGGTATCGGATCCAGCCCCTGACCCTGGTGACTTCAGGGTTATCTTTCTCATTTTATCTGAAACCGGCGAAAGTGCTGAGCTGCCACTAGTACTGGCCCCGAGTTTGATTTTGGCCGTGAAGTCCCGTTGAATGGCCGAGTTTGGACTCGTAACCTTTGCGGACGGCTCACCGTCCGATCTGGATTGCACAGGGGATTTGTTGAGCACGATCTTCTTTCGCTCAAAGTTGACTTTGCTGTTTGCGGCAGGACTGGTGTCGTCTTTCGTGGCTTGGGCCGCGGGACTGGAAGAAGTGACTAGCTGTGTTTTATTGGAGGACGATGATGATGATGATGCTGCTGTGAGTTTGAGTGTACGTTGTTTACTGGACACAATGGGAGGTGGCTTTAGACGGCTTGTGCCTGAACTCGACGAGGTACTTGGTACATTCTTCAGCCCTTGCGATTGTTGGTTTCTATTGCTGCAGACCAAAAAAACAAAAGATTAAAATGCTTCATTTGTTGTGCTAAGGTGCTTGAATGAGCACCTTTCAGCGATGGTCAAATGGCTAACAATACCAGGCGGGCCAAATAAAATCTGCAAAATTTCACTGAATTTCAAAGATGATGTTGAAATATGGATAGCTTAGAAAAACATTTTACAGCATTAAAAATTCTCCAAACTGACTTCATTCATATGCATAAACACAAGTAAGAAAAAGGAGGCGGACAAGATAAAGGAGGCAGAAAGGAGAAGAGGAGAAGACAGGGACAAGAATAGGTGGTTTTTTTATACTTGGCCTAATATATTTATTATTTACAGTCTATACCGAAATATAGCGGCTATTGTTACGGCAGCCGTAACGCAATTTTCAACTGCTAACGTTAAAGGTAGAGTATATCATTTGTGCATTTTTTTTCATTTGAAGCAACAAAAAGTGTGCAAAATCTCAAGAAGGGTGCTTAATAACTAACCTGATGAAGTTTCAGTGAATGCTGTATGTTCCTAGAAAACAATTTGCTAGGATCTCTGAAATCAGTGTCCAGGACATGTTCTTATTCAGCTGATTGCAGCTGCGCGATGTCACACACTGAAACAATGAATTATAGCAACTGCGCCCATGTGTGCGTCAAGTAAATGCTTGGGTGCACCAATAAGACACGAAATAGAAATTCCCAAAATGCGTCTTTCAACACATCTTTGGAAACGGCGTTCTTTCTGATTTGAAAAAACGGCATGCATAGCTGCAAATATACTCTACCTTTAAGGCATTGCAAAACAAACACCATTTCCAATCTTTATCATATATAGTTGCCTGGGCAACCAGAGTGCTTAAGTCATTCAATGCAAAACATGCACCTCTTTGAGAAACCCATTGTCAGGGTTACTTTTGACCCCTCGTCGCCTTCCAGTCGCCTCTTCGCTTGCAGCTTTTTATGCACCTGGGCTATAGTGCGCCCTCGCCTGTTGGCTCTTGGCAGGCGCTGGGGGAGGGGCGTGATGGTCCTGTGGAAGATCTCGAGGAGGTCCTCCTTGGTCGCATGGGGGTGGTCTAGCTTGATATGTCTCTATTACAGACACACAAAAAACACCTTTGATAATTAAAAGTCAAAATGGGAAGAATTCCATACATGGACATCACTTGTTTTTCCCTGCAGTGAACTATCAGCTATCAGAACGCGATAACATGTCCTTAAAAGTCAAATTTAGCAGTGGCAACTAGTCTGACTGTCTCGAGCTGCTGTTAAAAAATAGTCTCCTGTTGAATGACTCATGCCTTGTAAACTTGTTGTAGTTAACTGATCAACGTCCAACCGGCATACAGTCCCCAACAACATGCTCAAAAACAGTGCAGAATTCAGAAAGCAACAAGGCTTCCTCGGCCTCAGGTGCAGCACCTACACTAGTCCAGTGACATCATGGTTGTGACTATGTGAGTTACGCTTTCATAATTCAGCAGATTCAGGAGAATACGAAGCTTAAGAATAAGACTAAGACTAGGCAGTCGGACTAGGTGGCAACCCCGGCAACTGCAAGAACATGCAGTATTGGACGGTGTTGGCAATTGGCTGGAGTCAAAAATCAAATTTATTCTAAATTCATTTTCAAATGATTTATTCAACTCTTGAAAAGGTATGAGAAAGCATAAACCCTTAAATATAAATGAAATTCCTTTGCACATACACATTATATGCATGCAGCACAGCATGCAGCAGTAAAACGTGAGCTTCAAAGCCTAGCCCGCCCTCAACGACAAACGATACTCATGTCCCGAAATTTGGACCAGTGATGGAATTTACCGCAAGAAATCTTCACAGTTATGTTTTGTCAGCCAATCTCGCAACAAGATGACGAATTAAAGTATAAGGAATACCTCACCTGAGAAAGTAGTTCAGTTAGGTCCTCTTTGCTCAAAATTTCTGGATGTAAAATATCAACAGAAACGCACTCTGCATCGTCCGACTCCATTTTTCTCGTGTTTATGTCACGTGTTAGTGTCAAAGGTCATAAAATGGCGGCGCCCATTGAACGTGTTGCGTGCCGTTTCACAACACATTGCAACTAGTAGTAGTGCAACTCTAGAAAGTAGTGTTGGAAATCCAAGAATAATTCATGCAATTCAGTCAAGAACAGATGTTGATCTAGCTGGTAGACTAAGGGTAAATGCAGTTATCAAATGTATGCAGTTTGATGGTGCATAGTTTTGTGAATGTCGATGCCGGACGGACCAGGCGGGCCCTGTCCCGCGTATTGTTGCCATTGTCATCGGGGGCGGGGCAAAAGGGGGGGGGGGTTCACCATTTAATGTTTAACCTATTGAATTGTATAAAATATTGGCTGATGGTGTACTTACGGGCCCTCTTTAGTTTCGACTAAATTAGAGTCAAGGGTGTTATTTTATCATTAAAAAATTACCTTTTCAACTTGGGCCCAAGTTAAATCAGACTTCTCTCAATTCTAATTTCTATTTCTAAATGACACCTTTTTCTTGTAATTTTGATTTTTTTTTACAATTTTCATGCACAGTTTACAGTTGTGCGATTCAGCGGGCCTTGCATGTTCAAGGTACATTGCGGTGATCGCCATCTTTATTTTTATGTTGCTTTTTGTCGTTGTCAATGTCATTTTACCACCAAATTTCCCTCAAAAATCAAACCCTGCCCTTTAGACATGCCTGCATGTTCTTAAAGTCACCAACTTGTTTGGCAAGTCAAATAAATGAAAAGTGGATTTTGTTCTCTTATACTAGGGAACTGGGCCCGTAACTACATTCACCAAATAGCAAATATTGTGTAAAAACTGAGTGATTTGAGAATTTGAAGTTAATTATGTAAATCACTTTTTCACTTCTTCCACTTTATTTTAAAGGGGAAGCATAATCAGAACGATATAGCCATGGCTGAGCATGCCGAGGCAGAGACTAAAACGGATGCAAGCTACATGTATGTGGTCGTTGGTGGCGGCATCGCAGGGGTTACATGTGCTGAGCAGCTGTCTGCATTATGTCCTGAGGAAAGGATTCTACTCATCACAAGTTCACCCCTCATCAAGGCAGTGACGAACTTCACTAAGGTATGGATTGAGCAACTATTATAGACTCTATAGGTATGATGTCAGTCCTGTAGAGAGATGCACAGCATGACCTCACTGAGGTCAAATCTTGCATAAGTTTACTGTGGGAAAATGGCTGTGCATACCCTCTATTAACATTAGTTTCTTCGAGCTGTACAATTATCATCAGCTTTGATTCTCTAAGGATAAAAGTGCGGAAAGTTGATGAGTCAGGTTTCTTTCTTCGGTTTTACTGTACTACCTTACATTAGCCCCATGCCAAATGCAATTTCCAGTAGAAAGCTTTTTCTGTTCCAGTGTTGTCTCTTGCACAGATCTCAAGAGCTTTGGAAGAATTTGACGTGGAGGAGCTCCCTGCTAGCAGCATGCAGACACGGTGTAAGAACGTCCAGGTCTTGCAGTCCACAGTCGACGGCCTGGACGTTGCCAACCGCAGACTCGCAACACAAGACGGCTCTAAGATAGCATATCGCAAACTCTGCATATGCACTGGGGACAACCTAAAGTGATTGCCAGAGACAACCCTTTTGTCCTAGGCATCAGAGATACGGAGAGTGTGGTCAAGTTCCAGAAGAGGATGTCGGGAGCAAAGCGCGTGGTCATCGTTGGCAATGGTGGTATTGCAACGGAGCTTGTCTACGAGATCGAAGGATGCGAAGTCATCTGGGCAATCAAGGATGCTGCCATCAGCAGCACCTTTGTGGATGCCGGAGCGGCCGAGTTTTTTCTGCCGCAGTTAAAAGCTGAAAAGGAAGCTCCAAAGGGGCCTCTCAAAAGACACAAGTACACTGGTATGTTGTTCAGTGACTGAATTCCAATTGATCAATTTAGTTATCTGTACTCCAGGAATTATGCCGATTATTCAGGAAGGTCTTCCTGTGCTGATTATTCAGCAACGTCCTTTCAAAACTGCTGAAGGAGTGTTTCATTTGTCACTTGTACATGTAAAACTTGTTTCATTTCCCCAATTTAGTAACCAGCAGCACCGGTGGAGGCTCAGGCACCCAAGGGGGTGCACTCGGACCTGACTGGAGTACTGGTTTGATGATGAAAGGCAAAGCTGGAGGATCACATACTATCCATGTGGAGTACAAGTGTGAGGTAAAACAGTAATTTGTTTGCTTATTTGGAAGGGGGAGTTGCAAAGCTTGTTAAATTTTCCTGAGATTAGAGGTCATAAGAAGATCTGTAGGAGCCTTAAAGTTTCTAGATTTGGCAAACAACATTTGTTCATTTCCAATCCATGCACAATTTACTCTATATCTCAAAGAATTAAATGTACTTATTTAAATCAAATTTTTCTGAACCAAATGCTTTTGGCATAGGTAAACAAAGTTTACTTGAAGGGTTGTAGTGTGCTGTGTACGTGTATGGTGTCTCCCAGATAACATTTTTTGTTGACATTTTTATTTATATTCAGGTTGACAGTATACTGGCACAAGAGCAAGTAACAGCATTAGGTCGGACTCCAGATATCTTTCCTACAACCAAAGATGATGAGACTGCATCATGGCCTGTGTATGTCTCTCTCACCAATGGAAAACTCTATGGCTGTGATTTTGTCATCAGCGCAACGGGTGTGATACCAAACACCGGCGTGTTTCTGAAAACGGCCAGCTTTGACGTAGCCGAGGATGGTGGCTTCAAAGTTGACGATCACATGAGGACCAGCGTCCCTGATGTCTATGCGGCGGGTGACGTGTGCAGTGCATCCTGGGACCCGGCCCCACACTGGCTGCAGATGCGTCTGTGGTCCCAGGCACGACAGATGGGAGCCTACGCTGCCAAGTGCATGATTGCTGACATCCGTGGTGAACAAATCCCGCAGGACTTCTGCTTCGAGTTGTTCGCTCACGTGACCAAATTCTTCGGGTATAAGGTGGTGCTGCTGGGCAAGTACAACGCACAGGGGCTCGGCTCGGACTACGAGATTCTCCTGAGAATGACCAAAGGGAAGGAGTATGTGAAGGTGGTTCTCAAGGAGGAGCGGATGCAGGGAGTTGTGCTGATCGGAGAAACGGACTTGGAAGAAACCTTTGAGAACTTGATTCTGAACGAGATGGACTTGAGTGCCTACGGGGAAGACCTGCTGGATCCTGGCATAGATATCGAAGATTATTTTGATTGAGTGTACAATTTAGCAATAAGTTTAGTTTTGATTTTACAAAAGTACAAATTTATTCGAAGTTTCAATCACACACAAACAATCTATGAATCAAACAGGAATCCTCATGAAGGATGGTGGTTATGTTCATCACAAATTCATGATGGCATTATAACTGTCACACATACGTGTACCGGTACATGTACATGCTCTGTGCACAATGACGCCCTCAACAGCATGCCAATGCGTGTCTTTGACGTTGTGAAACACAATGTACCTGTACATGTATCGCCAATATATCAAATCTGTGTTTAACAAATTTGGTCGTGACCATATAAGGACTAGCATCCTTGATGTCTATGCAGCGGTAGAACTCAAAAGGAATAAGATGGTGATTTAATATTATCCCTGATGGGTGAATCTCTCAGCTAACCAGAACATGTTATGTACATGATGTAAGGTTTTCTTTTTCTTTCTGGGGATTAAATATCAGCCAGTAAGTACAGTGCAATTCACGGAGTCAATTTGTAGTTCAGACTCAACATGATAGACTAGTTGAATAAAACCAAAGTTGAAGTGAATATTTTCAAAAGAATTAGAATGGTCTTTTGCCTTATTGATTCCTGACCCAACTGCCCCTTAAAAGGAAGTACATGTGACTGAAATGAAAAGGCAATTTCCTTTGTGCAGAGAACTTTCTTAATAAAAACCCAAATCTATTGGAAAACATGATCAAGACACAACTTGCAATACATCACAGCTCCTGTTGCACGATGGCCAACTTTCCAAACCTTTAAAAAAACTCTTGGTCATGATTTTAGCTGTTTTCCCTTCTCTCTGGACACAAGTTCAAATTGTGTGAATACTTTTGTGGTCACTGTGAAGGTGGCATTGGCTATCCGTTGCTGGAATGTGATCGGTCCTTCGTGTCCGTTCGAGGAATCACGTGACGACCCCTCACACTCCGAGGTCTCCTCTTCGCGGATGGTCAGCGGTCGTCCCAGAGCCTGACGCAGTAACCGGGCCACTTCAAGCGCCTTCTGTCTGGCATTCTGCACTGCGCTCAAACAAGCTTGTCTCCTATTGGTTCGGTGGGGGGAAAGAATAATGATCACAGAAGCATGAATATCAACCCTACTAATCCTACCAGATCATCCAAAATTTATTACTTATGAGGCTTGATGGTCCTTCAAATCCGCTTTTGTGCAAGACACTAATGGCAAAATCACAAGTAGTGTGCCCTCTGAAGTGGCACATATTGAGATTATCGTATTAACCCTAACCTTCCCAAATCCTCCCAAATCCTCTTTGCATAAAGGAGGATTTTGCAGGATTGAGGCTATATGGCAAAACTGAATGGCTGATTTCGGAGGATGCACTGTGTCAAGGTCTTGGGCCGGACCTTGTGTTGTTTATGCTCAGCCGTGCATAAATTTTGGCCAATTTTTTACTTGAAATCCTCCGCATTGGTCCAGGATGTCACTGGCTCTGCCTCAACATATTGACAGTGATTGCTGGAGGATTTTGCAGGATTGAGGCAGTGGTCACCTCTCCAAGGACCACATTCACGAAATAACGGAGAATTTTGGAGGATTGAAGCTGTACGCTATGTTAACATGGAGGCAGTTGGAGGATTTTGCAGGGTAGAGTTTACATCCTAGCAAAAATGCCTAGGGAGTTAGGGTTAAGCCTCTGTACTGATGTCACACTTTGTTTACTTGTGCGCTTGTCTATGGGGCTACAAAACCATCTTCCCCACCAGGCTCCCATAACAAAGCACATGTATGTAAACAAAGTGTGACGTCATCAATACAGAGGCTTATTCTGATGGGATGACAACAATTTAATGCCTGTCAATTGGCGAGGTCAAGCTCGGTTGTGAAGGAGGCTTTGCCGCCTTTCACCCACTTATCGGGTGAGCGGCTGTTTGGACGAGTCGCGAGTCTTCGGGAAAATCCTGTGCTCCTATCAGAACGAGTGCTGACTGTTAAATGGACATACGATATCTTTCAAAATGACTGGTTTTCCTAATGAAACTTTCAGATTGTTCTGACGAGTTTATGAGACCAATGAAAAACATTTGGTTGACATCTCACCTGACAGCCTCCAAACTGTGTACGCTGTGGTAGAAATGCGGCGGATGCAGTCGGACCGATTCGTCCAGTTTCTCTGTGAGGAAATTACAGACTGACTGGCACTTGGTGAAGTCGACAAAGACGACGGTTACCTCAGCCTCCATGCAGTACAGACTGTCAACTCGCTGGATGAACTTACTGATCGTAACGTCACCTTCCTGTGAAGCAGTTGCATGAGAAAACGCAGAAAACTAAATCATAAAATGTTGACTAAACTGTGTGAAAAGGTGAAAAATGTTGCATCCTGATACCACTTTTTTCATCATGATATGTGTTTTTTTCATCATATACAAATTACAATGAAGGTCAGTCATTGCAAAAAAGGTGAAAAGATTTGAATCTGGGACTGAAAAACATTTTAAATTTTGTTACAAAATACTTTCAAAATGCACTTGACTCTTCAGACCATAGACTGTACACAACCAAAGAAGTGGTGTCTGGATACTACATTCTTTTTGTGAAAAGTCACAGAAAACATGTTGGTTGAGCTGTACAAAATTATAACTTAGTATTCACAAGATGGGAATCAGACCATTTTAAAAATTTGGACTTTATTTCCCATTAAAAAAATCCTCCTGTCACTCATGAGATCTATCCACTCAGCCACAGGCGCTGCACAAACGTGAAACGTTTGATATAAATAAATGTAAGCCTACTCGTATACACGTCAAAGAGGGCGCTGTACAATCTAGCCGGCTTAATATCGTTTACTGAAACTGAAAGAAAGCTGGCACCTGTGGCGCCGCCTAAATTATCCAGGAAAAATGTTGCAACCTGACGCCACTTAATTCAGCGGTTGTGATTTGTGTACAAAGTCTTTGGCCAATGGAGAGTCAAGAAAATTTTCTAAGAATTTCCTAAGAAAATTGGAAATGTTTTTCAAATTTCAGTCCCAGATTCATGTCTTATCATCATTTTTGCAATGTCTAACCTTCATTGAGATGATATGTGAAGAAAAAAGTGGCGTCAGGTAGCAACATTTTTTCCATTATCCACTTTAACTCGGCATGTTAAATAATAAAGTAAGGCAGGGCAGACAAAAATAGCATTTTGCCAACATTTTCAGAAATCTTCTTCCCCGAAAATTTAATAATAAGGTTACACTAACTTTAACATTGTGCGAATGAAGTGTTTGTATGATGTAATCCAGCCGCCTGGTCGTGCTAGCCTTAGCATCAGCAATCGCCTCCTTGGTGCTGGTGACCACAACTCGAACCGTGGCCCTGTCCGGTGCACGCGCCGCCTCGCCCGTCGAAGAAACCTGAATTTCACGGAGAAGTTTCTGGGCCTTGCTTGCACCGCCCGTCGCTTGTTTAACCTCGTCAGTCTGCGGGGAGAAAGATGCGAATACCTGCGACGGCTGCTGTGCCATTTCTGTTCAAATTACCTCCGAGAGTCTGCCAAAAATTCGGTGCAAACGCACGCCAACACAGCACCCTGTATTTCAATGTTTGAAATGGAACACAAAAATGGCGCGCCTTCAGATTTTTACCCCTCAAACTATTGAGGGCGCTATAACCATTTCACGGTAGTTTCAAGGACGCACGAGTTCCTGTATTCAAGTTTCCATAGACATCAGTGCTAAATCCCCGTGCTTCTCTAAATTCTTTAAAAAATATATGTTCTCAAAACTCTCACAGGTGTATTAAGGCTGCACAGAAAAGTGATGATCCTATATCATCTTCCATTTTCATTTCATTTTTTGGGGTTGACCATTGACTTTTGGGAGAAATTTCCACCAAAAGAAGACCGATCAGACATAAACATCTGTGGAAAATTAAAATGAATTAACCAAAGGAATAACAAGTGACATTCAACTTAATTTATTGAATTATTTTGAGACATTGGTTGTTTTTTTATTTCAAGTTACAATAAATAAGTTACATTTGTCAATTATAGCAAAGAATTATCCAATTCGTCTTCTTGTTTTTAAAGCACAGGAACATTTACAATACATGTACATTGAATTAAGTGCCTTTAAAAATCACTAAATATCAAGTACAAATCATGATCATGTAGGCGACCCACTTTCTTACTTTTATTCTGAAATTCTCTCACTTCTGACAAAAACAGTATTAATGAATAAATTTGAGACTTTCCGATTGATAAAAAAGATGAAGTATGGTGCAAGTATTTCATTACTGTGTGGTATTATTTGAATAAACCCCAAATCATTTTTCAAACAAATTTTGTTTTTATATTTGCATGTCCAAAATTTATTTCGCAATTTAAAAACCAGTTTAACATATATAAAAGGAAACACGCATACATAAAAGATGAATGTTAAAGACACCCAATGCTTTTTAAACTTATTCCTGTTCTGTTTTGTTCACAATCAGCTCAATTATTCGATTTTGTAATCACTTGGTCTTTTTAGTGTCCCATGTACCCATCAACTGCCTTGCGTAGTACAGCGTCTGACTGTAGAGAAGGATCTTAATCATAAACACAATGAACCAGGCCAAAGGTAGAACCATCGGCGACTGCAATATCATCCTGAACTCCCCCTTGAGGAGGAGCGGTTTGAGAATCCAGAAATAGGAATAGAGTCCCCACGCCGCACCACCCAGTCCGCAACCCACGACGACCACATTGGCCAGCTGCACCATGAGTTTCTTATTGCGAGGCAGGGAGGCGAGGTACAAGACGGAGGAGAGGCAAGTCGCAAGGAGCAGGTAGTGGCTGAGATGGGGACCTGTCTCATCGGGCAGGCTCACAAGGCCAAGATGCGAGTTGATAATGAAGAGAGCCACGGGCAGGCAGACAAACAGGTTGACGTAGGCGCACACCTTCAGTTTGGCTTTCAAGGCCGTGCTGTGACATAAAAAAGTCAAAGGGAAACTGTGGTTTCTTTTATTGTTACATTGAAAAGGAAATTCAAAATACAGTTAAATTAAAAAAACCTTCAAAATATTCCGATGTCCACAACTGAAAACCTTTCAAATCCCTTCCTAAATATTTGAATAAAAAAAACATATGATGCAACATTTGAGACCAGGTTCACAGACCGTACGTCATGTAGATACACTACACGCTACACACTTTTCACAGACCGCACGTCGTGTAGATACACTACACGCTACACACTACTGAGCATGCGAAACATCCCTCAATAGAATATTAATGGGAACATGGAGCTATAAAACACAGCTCCATGATTGGAACTAGTTTCTGCCACAGTGCCAGAGCTTTGATGTCTACAGCATCGACACAGTGCTAAGGAGGTCGACATCATCTACACAGTGGTTAAGAGGTCTACATCATCTACACAGTGGTTAAGAGGTCTACACTATCTACACAGTGGTTAAGAGGTCTACACTATCTACACAGTGGTTAAATAGATCTACAGCATCTACACAGTGGTTAAGAGGTCTACACTATCTACACAGTGCTAAATAGATCTACAGCATCTACACAGTGGTTAAGAAGTCTACAGCATCTACACAGTGCTAAATAGATCTACAGCATCTACACAGTGGTTAAGAGATCTACACTATCTACACAGTGCTAAAGAGGTCTACAGCATCTACACAGTGGTTAAGAAGTCTACAGCATCTACACAGTGCTAAATAGATCTACAGCATCTACACAGTGCTAAAGAGGTCTACACTATCTACATAATGCTAAAGGGGTCTTCAACATCTCTTTACATGTATAGCACTGTGTACGTATCGGACCCAAGCCAACTCGGACCCATGCCAATTCGGACCCACTACCAAATCGGACCCACAACCAACTCGGACTCATTATGCACGTTTTCAAACATTCCCCATTCAGTTCAAGTTACATGTGTTACAGTGATGCTGTTTAGTATAATTTTTCATTCTAATTGTAATGCGATAACTCTAGTAAAACTTTTACTAAAATTGTATTTTATTATTTATTAATTTTTTTTTAAAATTAACACATGTTATGTGATATCGTTCATGCTATTTTTCTCATGTTATTTCATATTTAATCCAAACTTTATACGTAACGAAATTAACACATCCAGCACAGATCTTCATAGAAAAATAAAATCGAAAAGCATGAACATTGAAATATAAACACTTGCAAACAAAACATTATTCATTTGTATATAATACTGGATAAAACTAAAGTCAATAAATAAAATATAAGATATAAACCATTCACGGATCTAAACGATTTAAGCAACTTCAAAACACCCACAAAAGTCAGCATATTTTGAATATGAAATTAACAGCCTAGATGGGTAACAAATAATATAAATAACTATAAAACTACCTTACAGTTTGAATAAACGAAACGTGCCATTTCCAAGTGCCAAAAAAATATGAAAAAAATAAAAAACGTTTGATTTATACACTTTATAAGAAAAACGAAGGTTCCATATGAATCTATATAAAAGTATAAAAAGTAAAACAAATCAGTTAAAAGAACAAAAATCAAAGTAAGCATGTGAATAACAAAAAATAGTCAATTACTTTTGTGCCTAAATAGTAATTTCAAATGAAAAACATCCTCTGACCTCACTGAAACATGTTCACTGCCTCGTAGTACATAAAAAATACTGTTCGGTTACCATTTGTTTCACATCCTAAAATAACAACAAATGTGTAGGTTACCGTTCGTCGTAGTGATCGTATATCAAAGATATATGTAGGTCTACATTGTGCACATCTGTAATTGGATGCGAGCAGGTTACCGTTCATCACAGATCAAAAATATAAACAATTTGGTAAGGCCTCTTTCAAATGTGCTTATGCCGTGTCGAATAAAATTGATTTAGTGTTACGTTAGCATGGCATAAGCGCGGCAGTGTCTTCAAACATCGAACTTAATTACAAACGCCTAGTCAAAATTAAATACCCCAACATGGCGGACCAACAGTCACAACGAAAAATATGATTTTGTGCTCTTAATCGATTACAGTTACATAATGTTTTGCTTCAACAGGCTTAAGGTTACCATTTTGTAAGGAACCAGGCTTTAAAGGGATTTAAAGTTGGTGTACATGTATACATGTTTTGTTGGGTGAAGCACCTTGAACAAAAATTTTCAAATTAAGTTGATAATTTTTAGTAATGAGCTTTCCAATGAATCATCACACAACAAAAACAGCCCATGACAAGTAAATCAACTAATTAATTTCAACTTTGGCGGGACGCTCCTTAAAACATATACCAGCCTGTACAAAATGACATATGGTAGGCCTAATCTTTGGGCCAAAACTGCTTTACATGTACGTACACATCTCTTGGTTTAGCTTCATATACAGATATTCCTGCCATGGTTAAGTCACGGTTTCGAAAAGCTAAGCACGTTGAGTTTCATGACGTTCAAAACAATAAGCGTTTAGCAACAACTTCCATACACATCATAAAGTACCGCTCAGCGATGGCAAAAGAAAACAATAAAAGCCGAATATAATACAGAATACATCCGACACTGTAAGATGACCTATAATCCATGAAACTAATGATTGAATCATTGTTGGGTCAGAGTTGGTCGTGCTTGGGTCCGAGATGGTAGTGGTTCCAAGTTGGTAGTGGTTCCAAGTTGGCCGTGGGTCCGAATTGGTAGTGGTCTGAATTGGTAGTGGGTCCGAGTTTGCGTGGGTCCGAGTTGGCGTGGGTCTGAGTTGGCATGAGTTTAGTTGATTTGGGTCCGAGTTGACCGGATACCATATGCTGTAGACCTCTTTAGCATTGTGTAGATGCTGTAGATCTCTTAACCACTGTGTAGATGCTGTAGATCTCTTAACCACTGTGTAGATGCTGTAGACTTCTTAACCACTGTGTAGATGCTGTAGACCTCTTTAGCACTGTGTAGATGCTGTAGACCTCTTAACCACTGTGTAGATGCTGTAGACCTCTTAACCACTGTGTAGATGCTGTAGACCTGTTAACCACTGTGTAGATGCTGTAGACCTCCTTAGCACTGTGTAGATGCTGTAGACCTCTTTAGCACTGTGTAGATGCTGTAGACCTCTTAACCACTGTGTAGATGCTGTAGATCTCTTAACCACTGTGTAGATGCTGTAGACCTCTTAACCACTGTGTAGATGCTGTAGATCTCTTAACCACTGTGTAGATGCTGTAGACCTCTTTAGCACTGTGTAGATGCGGTAGACTTCTTAACCACTGTGTAGATGCTGTAGACCTCTTTAGCACTGTGTAGATGCTGTAGATCTCTTAACCACTGTGTAGATGCTGTAGACCTCTTAACCACTGTGTAGATAGTGTATAGACCTCTTTAACACTGTGTAGATGCTGTAGACTTCTTAACCACTGTGTAGATAGTGTATAGACCTCTTAACCACTGTGTAGATGCTGTAGATGTATTTAGCACTGTGTAGATAGTGTAGACCTCTTAACCACTGTGTAGATGCTGTAGACTTCTTAACCACTGTGTAGATGCTGTAGACCTCTTTAACACTGTGTAGACAGTGTAGATCTTTTTGTGTGCATGTGACCGTAAGAGAGGGTACACGATTGGATATGCCAACTGTGTGTTCTGGAATTACATGTACATGACCGATGCGCATGCTTCCATATTAAAGATATGTCACGTCATAAGCAGGTTGTCCGTGATCAATCTAGCTTCATCCCTGCTGCCTTGTGAGGGCGCTTTATTGGTGTAGGGTGTAGTGTATCTACACGCACATAGTGCAACATTTTTTGGTCTCAAATCTTGCGGGGTATAAAAAAAAACAGGCGTGGAACAATGTTCCCAATTAAATATGTAAAATAAGTAAATAACACAAAATTATACAGAGCTTTTAGATTAGAAACGAATACATGTTGTACATGTACATCTGAAATCAGAAGGCTTCTCTCCGTCAGCCTTCTGATTTCAGAAGTAATGTAGATGTATAAAGTTACTGAGTTTATACAACAAACAACAAGACATGTTCAATTATTAGTTGGCCAACCGTCAATATTTCTGTGGGCAAACCACAGGAAATATAGACACCGGAAATGTTACAAATATTGGACAAATCATTCCCACAACAAATGAATATCTCCGATATATTCGCGGTGGCACATATTTATTTTTTATTTTTAACAATTAAAATTCTGTCGGAAATAGACGCATTTCAGCATGCCTCCCTTACCTTGCCTGATACCGACTGGCAACTTGTTCTCTGTGTGAAAAATCGCTGCCATCGGATCCTGCAGCTCTTGGCCCTCCACGAGACGCCATAGTTACTCACTTTCCTCAAGAATGCCTCAAGAATACAAATAAATTGTCTTATTTTTTTAAGGAGACATCTGCTGGCGCTGCACGTACGTTCACGTACGTACAGTACACAAATCGGTCGATGCATGCGATGCTAGATAAAGAGCGCCCTCACATAACAAACTACATTATGTACAAATTCTGGTCTGGGGAGGAGCCAGCCGGGGCGTTTGTAACATATTGTTCACAAATCAAAGAAAAATGCCATTCCCGATGGCTTACCATTATACGACGGCTTTTCTGTTATAAGGCAAAGTGAAAATAAAATAGGAATAATGAGAAAAATAGCACCCAAGCCACTCATTTAAAGATGACAGTTCGGAGCAACAGCCCAGAGTGCAAACAAGTGCCATCAAATCGTGTCCATCCCCTGTTCCCCTTTAATTTCCAACATCCACCAACAAACAAACAAATCAGGGGTTTTCCTATCACTCGTCGAAACCATGTCGACGTCACTAGTACACCGCACACATTGTTTACTTGACATTATAAAAACAAGTCCGTTCCGCTCGGTGTTGTTTTTGAGAGCTATTATAACGAACCCTTTTCCTCGTTACGCAAAACAGAAGGTACATGGCTTTCAGTTTCTGAGGTGGAAAAACGCTGGTGCGGTGCGTACATTTATCCACCTACGTTACAAAAATGTGCCAGACGATGAATATGTTAGGCTTTGACCTTTTCCTCGACAAAATTGGCGAAGGTTATTATACACAGACTCTATTCAAGCGATGGGTTGGGTGATTGGAAGGGAAAATCTCAGCCCACACTTTTGGGGGGGGGGGGGTGTCAGGCTGTACACCATTCGTATCTGACTCCTTTACAGTTGGTGTATACGTGCTTTTTGGGTGTGGCACCTTGAAACTTCACTTTAATTGATAATTGTCTAACATTACATTTAATTAGTATGAGCTTTCCAATGAGACATCGCACGATGGCTCGTACCATACTTTCAACGGGGGCGCTGTTCAAATCCGACGATTATTAACACTATATCATGAATAGTCTACATATACCCCCTAACCAAGCTGGCTTTGTCCGTATGTGCAAAGGCGGACCGTTATAACCAGTACAAACATTTTGGGTGTCAGAGCAGGGGGCCGGGTTAGCCTTTTTTTCATGAATTTAAAATGACAGAGCTGGGGGGGGGGGGGTGCCCCCCCCCCCGAACAAACATATTTTCTTACAGAAAAATATGCATTTGAAGAGTAAATCTCTTGATTACAAATCGGAGTATTCTATAAACAGTTTGAAATTAGATAAGTTAATTTTAGAGCAAGTAAAAGAAACTCATATGCAATTCATCATAATTCGTAAATTTTGCAATGTTTCAATTCAACTTTCTTATGTTTAAAAATCATAATTGTCTGTGATTTCACAATCATTTTAACAATCACTTCTTGATTATAAATTTAAAATCTAAAATTCTGGATGCTGTTATTTCACAGTTATTCACTATAAAAGATAGCAAAAGAGATCCTGAACTTGTTTATAATTACACGCAGTTTTATTTTCCACACAATTTTCCCGTGTAACTTTCTCTAATCGTCAAAATTCAATTCCTGACTACAAATCTGAATATATGCATGGATATTGTTATTTCACATCTTATTGATATATCGATAGCAAACAATAATTCCATCTGTGCTAATAAAGCATTTTTATTTGCATATTACTGAATGAAATATTTTTTGGTTATAGATCAAAATCACCTTAAGTTTGGCACAATCATATAAATCTTGATGGCAAACACGCGCTTATCAAATAAGAAAAAAATACACAGCAATTTACTTGATTTTAATTTTAAAATGACTCAATAAACGAAGTATAGATAGATTTGCATATTATTGAGTAAAAAAGCAGAACCCAACCCACCCCCCCCCAAAAAATATATTTCATATTTAAAACGGGGGGGGGGGGGGGTTCGACTTATTTTTTAGGAATTTGTATGATAATTTTTTTTTTTACAGAGCTGGGGGGGGGGGGTTTGACCCCCAAACTCCCCCCCCCCCTCTGGTTATGAAACTTTCAAATATAAAAACAATATAACAGCTGCTTCCAAACTTCATTTTGGGCTTTACTGTATTCCTAAGTTGTGTTTAAGAATACAACAGCCGTCGAAATTGCTCTTGAGCAGATAGGAGAAAGCAGGATTCTAAGAGGGAAGAAAATGTCGTGTGTCGCGTTTTTGGAAATAAACTCTTCATTTTAATACCAGATCTGACAAACTATAGTACATAAGGCAAATCAAATGCTGCACAGACAATTATGCCAGACAGACACACCATGGAATATGTTTGGGTTTCGCATAATGTTCCTGCACGAATGTCTATGTATTTGGTCTCGTCTGTTTCCTCGTTCCGTTTTCGGCTAGCGATTTGACATCTCCATCGAACCGATACCGCTTGACACAAAGCTCGCACGCAAGATTCTGGCAGAAATTGAAAAGCGTATTGTATTTTGTGGGTCGACTGTGGGTTAATGGAATCATGACCTTAAATAGAACAAGATTAAGCCTACAGGACTTTACAATGGCGCAAACTATGATCAACAGTGTGGTCTCTATCCAGACGTGCAACATAAATTCACTACAGGAGGATACCTATTGCAAAACGCCGTATGAAAATGTTCAAACTTTTAAATAATGCAGTGTAGAATTTAAAAATGCCTTAGAAAGAATCTCAACATATGTGAAACTGGTATCATATCCATGGGCGTCGTCAGGATTTTTTTCTAGAGGGGGGCAAACATTTTTTTTGCCAAAAAGTGCTTGTATTTCTCAACACATTCTCGATTTATCAGTTTTTGAGGGCGGCAGGGACATTTTGCCTTCCCCCCCCCCCAACTCATTAAATTTACACCACTTTGTCTTCGCACCTCTTTTTCTTTTTCTTTTTTTCTTCCTTTTTCTTCCTTTTTTTTTCTTCCTTTGTTTTTTGCTTTTCCGGGGGGGGGGGGGGACAAGTGCCCCCCTTTACCCCCCTCGCGACGCCCATGATCATATCTACTTAGACGGTTTGGCGGTACTGGTTATCAACGACGGTTTGGTGGTACTGGTTATCATGATGTCGCAAAAATATGCAGCCACCACCATCTTTTGCTAAAAAAAAAAAAGATTAATGTGGTCAGAAATTGTCTCAGATCGCACCACAGAGCATCTAGAATCCAAACATTTCACGAGGCCACTTTTTTTTAGGGAACAATTTTGTTTTGGCCCCCTCCCAAAATTGTGTTCTGGAAAGAGGATATCTTATAGAGAGCAATGTCTTAGTAATGCTGGGATATGCGTGAGGGTACCTTTGGTGCACTCATTGTTACTGAATTAAAATGACAATGGATGCCTTCTAAGATGGCGGCTACGTATAAGGTCTAGGTCTATGGCTTGGATCATGGGTCACCATGCATTCTACTTTTACCTGCATTCTTGAGGAAAACGGTTTTGAAAAAAAAACCTTATAAAAGGAATTCATGGAATTTTTCGATCACGTAGGTCTGAAATCATTGCATCAAATTACTTAAAGTCACTTTTGGTTTTTGTTGCATGGTCACGGAGTATCAATGAACGCGTGGTGAAAGCATTATGTTATTTAAGATGTTCCTCTCTAGATGTTCCTCTCTATTTTGTTAGGCCTATAGCCATTCAATGTACATGACATACTGGTATTTTCAAATCATCCTCTAAGAGTGATAATCAACCTTTTCTATTCACTATTATACAGAAACTAATCTTGTTTAGGCCTTGAGTTATGTGGACTCAAAGTGTGCCGTTGGTAATCTTTAGTCAGTCTGATAAAAATATCAACTTGAATATATATTGCATTCATTTAAGCCACTATAGTATTTCCAATATATGTATAACAAATATTTATGCAAATATCATGGTTAAATTTGTAGATCGTCTAGCATAATTCTAAACATGACTTTAAAAAACCCATTATATAACATTTAAACATCTGAGTTGCATATGTAAAACACTATGATGACACTGTAAACAGAATATGCGTTAAAAATGTTTGGCAAAGCTATAACGTTTACTTTCGAATACATCAATATTTTTTTCTTCTGAGTGAACAGAAATACACCTCATTATTCACCACTCGTCCGATTACATATTGAAACACTTTTTTACACTTATCTCAAATTATATTCTTATAAACAAATAAAACGGCATATTATGGGAATACGGTGGGGGTGATTCCCAATATACGATCATTTTAACAAGCATGCAACTATTTTTTTCTGGGATCAGCTGATTTCCTGTGTTTTTGTGTCGCCTAAATGAAGTTTTGGGAGACAGTAACCAGTCCTAAATTCTGTATGACCGTATAAGACCGTAGCCCCGTAAGTATGTTAAAGTTTAGGTTATGTGTTTGAGGGAACAAAAATGTACAACTTTTTGTATGCTTTTATGGATTTTGATGTAACTTGGATGCAGTGACCCTTGGGTGGGAAGACACAATTCGTCATCTGATTACTGAGGTCAAAGGTCATGTAGGGGTCATTAGAGATCATTGTTCAAATAATGCTTAAAACGTTTCTTTGTCTACATATTTTTGAAGGATTTTAACGTAACATGGATGGAGTGATCCATGGGTGGGGGTTCATCACTACTCTTCCGAAAATGGAGGTCAAAGGTCATCTAGGGTCATTTGAGGTCGTTGTTTAAACATGCACAAAATATTGCCTTTTTAAGAACACAAAACATATAGGGTCTATAGCTAGCTATAGGAACCGACCACGGAAAAAGGCGACACTTTATTGCGATCCGCGGATCATTTGTTTCACCTTACACCAGCCTATTATAAGGGCAACAAACACTGAAGAAAAGCTTTAAAACACGACATTTTATCGTTGGTTACTTAACAGTTGCATACCTGTTATTAATGTTTTAAGCTGTTAATATCTCAGATTGAGAGCAAATTACAATGATAGAACTAAAGCGTAAAATAAAAATATGTAAACATCATGACTTCAGTTTCTTATACAGACGTTGAATAGGATGTTACCTAAAACCGTTCAAAGCAAAAACTACAACTTTTCTTCTGTTTTTTAAAATGGATCAAGTCGTTGTTTACCTTTGTTCTTCCTCTTAATTTTGGGGGTGGAATCAATATCGGCAA